AAGTCTCTTGGCGCGAGCGGGACTTCTCCCGCCGCTAGGCAGCTACAATCACACGCACGACGCCCTAGCGAGCCGGGGCGCGGCCTCGCGATAACTGCTCCGCCTCCCGCTCCGCCACGCGGGCACTGGCCCCGCCTTCCCTCCCCCACTAGTCGGGAGAGCATTTGCGCCTGCGCTCTGGGCCGATGGGGGGCGGGGCTTTCAGCTCTCCTCGCCAGGGCCGCCTCTAGGAGTGACGCGCGAGGAACTCATTCTCTGGCTCTCCCTGCTCCGCCCAGTTTCAGGCATCCTTCCTCTCCCATCTCTTTCCCAGAGCCTCACCACAGCAAAAGGTGAAAGTTATCTATATGCCTGTGAGCTGTTATTTTATACTTCTAGCAGACTTTAAAAAAATTTTTTTGATTGCCAAGTCATCACTGTATACAATAACGTGTAGGTACAATGGGATTTTTGACATGTATGTACATGGCAGAATGATTAATTCAAGGTAATTAACGTTACCCACCTTGTTCACCTGTTTTCTTTTTTGTGAGACACTGAGATTTGCTCCTACTTACTTTGAAATATACATACATTATTTTTGACTTTACTTACCTTGCTGTTTACTAGAGGGGAGGGAGAGGATGGGGAGTTTTTTGGCAAAGGGTACAGTTTAAGATAGGAGTAAGTTCTGAGAGCTAACATTCACTTTCCCTTTAAATGCTTTGGGAACAGAGCCATGGCTCTCTCCCTCAAGTTTCAGCCCTTTTATGTCTTCAAAAAACTTGGAGAACTTAAGTCCAACCATTTATTCTCCTCATGCACCGTCCTCTCTTCCCAGTCTTCTCTCCCGCGCCCCCCTTTCGCGCACCCCCTCCTTCCCTTGCTATCCCTTCTTCGCTATCCCTCCCTTACTCACCCTCCCTCCCTTGTTCTACCCTTCCTTTCTCCTCCAGTCCTCGCTCCTCCTCCCTTCCTCGTTCCCCTTCTCTCCCTTGTTCTCCCCTCCCTCCCTTCTTCCTCACTTTCCTCACTTCTCTTCTCTCGTCCAGTCCCCCTCCCTTCCTTGCCCCCCCTTCCACACCCTCCTCCCT